ACCCACCCACCCACAGCTCCCAGCCCAAAGTGCCACCTCTCTCTTTTCCCCCATTTGCAGCCCGAGGTCACCCAGGCAGAGCTGCCCCGTACTCCCACGGGTGGGGAGAGTGACTCCGGGACGAGGTCTGGGGCAAGGGGAGGAAGGGGCAGTGAGCTGCTCCCTTCTGCTGCCCGACAGCCCCGTACCTTCTCCCCCCCCAAAAAAAAATCCCCAGCCAGCATCTCCCCGAGCAGTGACCCAAGAGAGGTAGGACGGGGCTCCTGACACCCTCCAGCTGAGAAAGAGGTTTTTCCGAGCAAAGACATCAGCAGACCATTACATAAGAGGAGAAAAAATTCTGCAGCTCCCCAGACCAAAGGAGAGCAGCAGAGAAATGCATGCATTTGTGGTAGGAGAGCTGCCCACCAACTCTCCAGGCAGCGAGCTCTGCTCCTCCAGCAGCTTCAGCCAGGACTGCTTGGGACAGCAGATCCAGCTCTCGCAGACCTGAGAGCCCCTTGCAGGCAAGGCAGGAGAAAAGGCAAGCTTGCTTTGCAGGAGCTTTCTACTTAACGCTTAAGTCTAAATCGCAGAAATGTAATCAGAAAACAAAACCCGAAAAATGCAGATCTCTGCTCCGTGTCTCCCCCTCCACCAAATTCCTGCTGTATTTTAGCTAGTTTTGTCAAACAGAAACTGATTTATTTGGGGATGGGACCAAGGACGTTGTGCAAAGCCTGAGAGAGCAAGGTTCTTCCATAATAAACCCTTCCTGAAACAGAAGGAGGGAGAGTGGAAACTGGGGAGCTCGAGACCGTCAGTTAGCAGACTCTGCCCGATCCAGGACTAGGCAAACAGCTGGCTATGCTCAGCTTGAAGTAATTATCAGTGTTTTGGAGAAAAAAGGCATATTCGGCAATCCCTTTCATGCTGACACACCCACATGCACACTTCTGTGGGGATGAAGAGGACATACAAAGAAGGAGCCCATCTTTCAGGGCTTTGGAGGGCTTGTGTTAGGTCCCAGACAGCGATTCTGATTGGGAGCTTGAGGTCCTGCAGAAGTGCAAAAATGTGAAATTCTTCCAAGGGATGCAACAGAGAGGCTGGGAGCATTGGATTGGAAACATACCTGTCTGGAATCAGGGGCTAAGATTCACAACTGCTTTGGTAAAACTGGCTTCATTTTTAGATATTTGAATGGGTGCTGCAAGCGCATCACACCTTTCAAATACAGGCTGGTTTTATTTAGTGGCCTAGATACTACTCGTCTGGAGGTCCTTGCAAATGTGGCCTGGAGTTCTTACAGGTAACAAGAAGGAGAGGTCAAAGGTGGGAAATTCTGTAGAAAAGACCCTATCAGCCTCCTCTTTGCTCGTCTTAAAGCATTGCCCGTGATGGAAATCTGCCTCAACAACCCCAGGAAATGCTAAGCTCCATTGGTACAAATTACAGCTCTTTGTCTGTTTTATGATGCACTTATGCCAATGGTTGAGTGCTCCCAGTGAATAAAGTCTAAATGCAAAGGCTTTATTGAGCCTTTGTACTTACACACAGAAGTGAGACCTTGAGTGGGAAGTCAGAACCTGATTCCTCATTTCTATACGTGCAGGCTTATAATAACCTTTGACAGAGTATGTCGCTATATCTAAGCTATGGGTGCTCCTGCCAGACATACCTTAGCCCTGTGGGCTTCAGCACAAGCAGAAGCTCTGGGTCCTTGGTACTCATCGCTTCTGTGACTTACACGGAGTTGGTACGTAGTCTGGCAGGGAGAAAGCTGCAATCAGTGCTCTTGGTTGCCATGGCCTTGCCCATTAAGCCCTCCACAGAGCTGGTCTTTGCTCAGGAGGTTGGCCAGATCTTCCTGTTGACCACAGGGAGAGTTCAGGAACACAGCCCAAGCAATCTGGACCTCCCTAGGAGAAGCAGGTCCCTCTAGTGCCTAAATAAGGTATGGCAATGGATGGGGTTTCATGCAGCTTCTCCCAGTTTTGGACAACTTCTGTCTGCCAGGATGCTGCAGTGGAGCATTCAGGCACAGCATTGCTGAAGCACAGACCATGCACAGAATGGGCAAAGAAATACGTGAAATGAAAGGTGCGCCTGAGAACACGCTTCTTCCTTCCCGAGCAAGAAAATAAAGCTATACTGCCAAAGGACACATTGCCTGTCTCTTGGAGTACACAATAAGAAAGTGGGATCTGGCATAAGAGCCCCAGCAGGTAACATGGATGATCAAGTGACCAATGCATTGCACCGGTCATCTCAAATGGCAAAATCCACGGAGGATCTAAAAAGTCAGTTTGAAGTACATCTCAGAAACAAGCAGGGCATCAGCACCAGCATTGGTGTCATCCAACAGACCTTCTTTAAAGGGCAATAACCGATATGTCAGGGATGTTAGCTGGGGGGAACTGAATGATGGTTCACAGAGTCTGGAGCCCAGAGAAATAACAAATCACAGAGAGATTTGAAACACTCAGAAACAAGATTCAGCTTGGAAAAAATGCAACTGTGTCTGGGGAAAATAATTGGGGTTGCCTACTCCCGGAAGGAGACAACTTTGGGAACAAATGATTTGGCACAAAAAAAACCCGGATTACAGCATAGGGCAAAGTAGGCATGGTTTCAGAAAAAACATTACATAGCAGAAAGTCAAAGCAACACAAATGTACTTGCAGAGATATCCTAAAGCAGGGAAGGAACAGCCCCTTTGTGTTACTCTGATGTGGCTGCACTGGGAGACCGTGTTCAGCTTGGAGGGTTACTAGAATGAGGGTTACTAAAACACAGTAAACTTGTCGATAGTTTAAACAAGAATTATTAACGGGCTCGAGGGGTTGGCATAGGTGCACTGATTAGGTACTGAAGAAGGTAGAGTTGGGTGCCCGGGAGCCAGATTGCCATACATTGATTCACAAGCAAGTAAAGCTACAAACAGTCCTATTGACATAGTGATTTTAAGTTGTTATGGTTTAATAGCTGGGTGGATATAATAAAAATTAATTGTACAAAAAGACATTAAACAGTGAAAAAACAGAGGAATAATTTAGAATAGCCACAGAGGCTGTGTATATAAGGGTAAATAAAACAAACTTCAGACCAACTAGCAGTTCATGTTCGTACACTTATATGATTTTCTACCTCGAACAGGAAAGAAAAACTCCAGTGTGATATAGAGTTTAGTTTTAGACATGTGGATTTTAAGAGAAAATCCCTTATTTAAGTTCTGAACTTCCTCAAACTGCAGGGCCAGCACTACACAGGTGCCAGGCAGGGAGGGCAGGGGTGGAAAGAGGGAGACAGAGGGGTCTGTGCTTAGTACTGGGGGGATGAGGGCACTGGAAAAAGAATGTAAGAGCTGGGGTGACCCTTCAGGGGCAAAAGAAATGAACTCTGCTTACTGTGGTTGAATTTGCTGGTTTGTTTTTGCATTATGTTGTGGTTTTGAAAATAGTTGAGAAAATTGTGCCAGCTGCAGGAATGGAAGGCATGAAACACTGAAGTGGCTCGTGCCTTTTAGGAAAGGATGTCAGGCCCTGTAGGACCAGAAACCTGCACCTATTGACTTTGGAGATTTTAAACAGAAACCTCTGAGACTGATGAAAAGCAAAGACAGTTAGGCTGTTAGTAAGGACACAGGAGGCTGTAGTGGTAATAACAAAAGAAGTAGATGTTAGAGAGCCTTTGAAACTCTTGTATAGGAGGAAGCAAGTATCAGATCCTTTATGTATTGATATATTTTCAAATGTTCAGCTTTATTATTGTCTTGGTTTTGGCTGGGCTAGTGTTATTTTCTTCCTAGTAGCTGGTATAGCGTTGTGTTTTGGATTCAGTATGAGACGAATGTTGCTAACACACTGATGTTTTCAGTTGTTGCTCAGTAGTGTTTATTCTAAGTCAAGGATTTTTCAGCTTCTGATGCCCAGCCAGCGAGAAGGCTGGAGGGGCACAAGGAGTTGGGAGGCGACACAGCCAGGGCAGCTGACCCAAACTGGCCAAAGGGGTATTCCAGACCATGGGACATCATGCCCAGTATATGAACTGGGGGGAAAGCTGGCCAGGGGCCGCTGCTTGGGAACTAACTGGGCATTGGTCAGTGAGTGGTGAGCAATTGCATTGTGCATCACTTGTTTTGTACATTCTAATTATTTTATTATTATTATTATTGCCATTATTATTATTTTCTTCCTTTTCTGTCCTATTGAACTGTCTTTTTCTCAACCCAAAAGTTTCACTTTTTTTCCCAGTTGTCTCCCACATCCTGCTGTGGGGAGGGAAGTGAGCGGCTGCGTGGTGCTTAGCTGCTGGCTGGGGTTTAACTGTGAAAATTATAAAAGTTTTATTCCCTAATTAGGTGTGATTTCCTCAAGTAGCTGCAGGGCAGTTGGTGAAGTTGCTAAAATACTACTCACATAAGTAAAGATTGCCAAGCCAGTGTTTTCAAAGGGTTAATATTTGTTGAATAAAATTCGCCAATACTTTCACATA